GCGCGCGGCAGCCCCTGGATCTGGCGGGCGTGCTCCCGGGCCGTGACGTAGATGCGGTAGTAGGCCAGCACCATCAGGAGGAAGGGGATGTAGAAGGCCACCACGGAGCAGGTAATGGCGTATGGCTTGTTGACCATGAATATGCAGTAGGTGGAGTTGGAAGCCTTGTTGAACTGCCTTTGCTGAATCTGGTGCAGGCAGAGGAAGGACAAGGACAAAGAAGAAGGCAAGAAGTTCAGCACTGCTCCTCCGACACCAGACCAGTCTGCTCGCCAGAATGTACCACCACCGCTTTCTGATTCTCTCTCCTCCCTCCCCTCGTCCTTATGCGGTACCTGCCTTACCCACTGCTGCCTCTCCTGCCTGTGCTGACACCATGGGCTCTCCAGCCCTGCTGGTCCCCAGGTCTGCTGGACCAGCCCACCTTGCAGCTCTGGCATCTTAAAGTGTGCCTCAACCTGACCAGTGAAAATCAGCCTAACACCCCATGTCCGACGCAGAGAGGGGACATAACCCGACTTTGTGCTGTGCTTTGCGGCAGTGCTCACTGCTCTGTTCATCAAGACATGTTTTCACACCGTGGATGCACAAGTTTCACCCAGTGGAGTCCCACAGGGGGAAGGACAGGGAAGGGACCAGGCTGCAGTGGCCTCAGCAGTTGGGGGGCAGCTCCAAGCTGGGGGTGACAACGAGCTTCCCAGGCACAGGGGCGGTGGGCAGCAGCCCGGGCAGGAGAAGTCTGCAGGTTCAGCCCATAGGCTGAGATCTGGTCAATGACTTGTGATTGGAAACAGAGACAGCAGATGAAGAAAGGGGTCTTGCACGTGATTCTGGGGAGCAGGAGGCATAACTGGCACAGACAGGACTTCTCTGAGGCTACTCTTGCTACAGAACGATGTCACTGCAGGTCCATCAGACCCATAATTTCTGGTGTTTATTCCAACAAGAGAATAACCTTGTCTCCTATTTAAAACTATAATATCAAAATTGTTTAATTGAGCATGCAAGGAAGTTTACCCCAAAAGAAAAAGCATTTTCACTCAGTGGTGCTTGAACCCTGCGCTCCCTCTCAGCATGCAGCTACTGAAATCTGCCCGGTGAACATCAGCAAATTACAAGGAAGGGCAGGGCTTGCACTGGTGTTTAGAAAAGCTGGTACAGACAGATGGGTGTCAAGTTTTTTCTGAAAAGGTGGGGGCAATAAATCAGTTGAAAAAATCAGATACCCGACATGGTTTGTTAAATAAACAAAATGCACCTCCCTTTTCTACCAGCTGCATGTCCTCAAGGTGCTTGTCTGGAAGCAATTTTGGCTTTATCGCCTTATCTAGAGGCTTGGCAGCTTGCACCTGCTATTCTCCATGAGCCAAGAAGCATTCTTATCTCCTTGACTGAGACTTGGCATAGAAGATGCCACATCTTTTTAAACAAGCTCTTCTAAATAAGGTGTTTCCACAGTTTGCCATTTTTTAATTCCTCCAACTGCAGATTGGAAGGAGAGCAGTCTTGCAGCTCTTAACTCCTTGCCTGCAGACGGGATCCTGCCCGTGAAGCCAGACTGCGGTGGGGAAAACCAACTCCTGCCGAAATGACTTGCACAGAGGAACTTCACCTTCTCTCCTGCGTCAAGGCTCACACCAAGACGCTGGATATTGATGGGACTGGCCCAAAACTTCATCCCTTCTGGGGAAGTCTGGGCTTCCTGGCTCTCCAAACGTCGCTAGCATGGCGAGGAGGGACCCTCAGGCTCAGCAGGCAGAGACCAGCACTCCCCGAGAGCTGCAGAGGCCAAGGGGAACCAAGGGCTCCCGAAGTGCCTGTCAGGAGCCAGCTGGGGCTTGGCATGCTTTCAAAGGACTATCCACTGCATTGATTAGTAGACACAGGTAAAATCCTCTCCCAGAGCCACCACTGTCATTGTGACAGTCCTTTCAGGACAGAGTCACTTCAAACCCCCTTAAAAACATCCTCCAGAAATTCAGCAGCCCCTCTGCATCAATAACAAGCAGCTTCTCCTTCAGCCTCTCTTACCTTTTTTTTTCTTTGAATATTGTTTTTTAAAGGAGAATATACAGCACCGAATATATCTGGTACCAGGCTGGTGTACCTCCTTAGCTACTCACCAGATCAATGATGCCAATGCTATTCCAGCCTTGCATGATAGGGAGGAAAGAAATAAACGTCGGGATTACCCAGCACCCTCCGAGCATTACAGCAATGCGCAACGGAGTCATCTTGTTCCTGTAAACCAGAGGCTGGCAGCAGATAGCATAGTACCTGCAAGGAGAAAAGTGAGAGAGCAACCGTCATAAAAGGAGACTTCCAGGTCTTCTAAAAATACAACTGTAAAGCATTTTCTCCGGCTTGTTTCTCCTTTCAAAATAGAGAAAAAAATGAGCCTATAGCCTATTTCCATTGACTGCCTCTCACACAAGGAGTTCAGGATATTTTCACAGCATGAGTAAATAAGGTTTCATAGTGCCTTGCAGGGCAAAGCCAGTATTTTCTGTTTTCCAGCTAGGGAAAACGAGGCACAGATTAATGCTGTGGTTTGCCTGAGGTCACAGAGCAAGGGAGTGACTTCATATTCAGCCCTCCTCTCCCTCGGCGCTTAGTCACAAAGCTGTCTGCACCCTCCTTACCATGATAAATGAGTCCACCTTCCTTCCATTTAGCTGTAACTGCATAAATGTTGGGGTTTTCCTAACTGCAATGGACATTTATTTTGACAAGACTGCAAAAGCTGTTATTGCAAATTAACAGTGTGTTTCAAAGCTGTGAAGATGTCAGTAAAATGAAGTGTGTTCTTCCGTAACCAAGCTCCCTTTCTACCTCCCAGGAATCAGCTGCTTTCCTGGCTGGGCTTTAACCTCTGCCACAAGGACAGAGCAAATGTCTGCACGGGGCTTCTAGCCTTTCCACCACCAAGGGGACGTGCCCTGTGCTCTCCTTTCTCCTCCTGACCCATCCGACGTCTTCATAGTACAGCAGATCCCTGCAAATAAAAATAACAACTGGCTGTGGACTGAAAATGGCTTCTCAAAGAGATATGAAATCAACTCTTCTGTCGGTTTGGTCGCCGTGCTACCCACCTGCCATCAGATTTCTACATCAGGAAGGTGTATCCAACCTAGAACTGGAAATCTCTTTGCTCTGAAATTAATATATGCCCATAAGCATAGCGGATCAGCAGCCATATTATCCTACTGCAGATTTTTGGTGGTCCTGACCTGACAGTCTGCCTCAGGTTCCCAACGCAATGTATTTGATTTTAGAGTTTTGGATTTCGGCACATGTTGTAGAGACAGGCCAGTACTGGTGTCCCCGCTGCTGCGACAGGGAACTGGCATCCAGAGACACAAGAAGTGCCCATAAATTCTCAGCTCTTCTATATAATGAAATATATAACTCAGCTATGTGCCTGATGAATATATTTTCTTAGAGAATTAATAATGATCATCTGGTAGATGTAGTTTCCAGATTTGGTGGGCACAGAAATTGTGCAATATGGTACTCCACAGGATATGAGCAGTGCATTCATGAAGCACACACAGTTTCAAAAACTATTTGTAAAGGAAATAAATGACCTCCGTCAGAGATTTTTTAGAGGCAAGCTATACATCAAGGCATAATGTGTACGTAGAGAGAGCCTCACTGCTGAGTGCCTATAAAAGTCAATTTTATGAGGTCAGTAGAACCATGAATTTGAGACATTAAATTAGCAAACACACACTAAAGCTGGACCACTAACCTGAGATGCCTGCAGCACATTAAAATAAGACATATGAATGCACGCATACACACAGTTTATGTGTAGGTATTAGAGAGATGTCCTTGATGTGCACAATTTATTTCATCAAGATTTCAGTGGGAACCAAAAGTTTTGTGCTAAACAGGCATAAAATCTAAGAACTTCCAAATTTTCTTAAGACTTTTTTTTAAAAAGTCATGTGGAGTCAACTGAATTGCTTTATTTTGATAAAATCAGATTATATATTCCACACAAAGGGTTGAAATAATATCAAAGTGTCAAAAGAAAACATTTCTTAAGTGTCTTTGAAACAAGATTCAAAATGTCACAGGGGAAAAATGTTGAAACAAGCATTCAACTATTTCAATTTGATCATTTCTACATTCTCTTCTGGTTTCCTGTGTGCATGAAAATCAGCCTGTTCCTCTGAAAAGTTTCACTTTCAAAGAAATGGTGTATTTGACAGTAACTGTTCTTTTAGAGCACTGAATGAAATGTTCCTCTCGTGGAGCTCGTGCTAACAGCCACGGCAGCCAGCGGGTCCGAGTCCTGTCCCCACCAGCACAGCCCTCACATCCCTCCCATGAGGGAGAGGCAGAAGCTGAATAATTTACAGGAACAGGATTTACTCAGTTTTGGAGCTTGCCTTCATCGGATCACGAGCTGAACAAATGAGGCTATCCAGCCTCGAAGATATGCAAAACTCAACTGGATAAGATGCTGAGTGACCTAAATGAACGAAGACAGATTTACGTTTGAGTTGGCCCTGTTTTGAGAGGAAGGTTGGATCAGAGACCTCCAGAGGTCCTCTCCAACCCACATTTTTCTGAGTCTATCAGACAATGAGGACCATCATGGTCTGATTTCAATATCTTAATGATTTCAGATGATAGAATAAATATTTCTTTGTTCCTAGGATAACTACCCCCCTCCTCATGACAGCCATGACATGTTTGCATAACCTTGTCCTGTGTTGCTAGAGCTTACTGCACTTGGATTTCCCCCTCTTCTCCAGAGTTCCTTTCCCCAGGAAATGAACTGACCTTTGAATTCAAACAGGTATTTTCAGTAATGTTTTTGACGGCTCATTAGGACAGATGGTGCTTCCCTTGGCATTACGTGCAAGTGCTCTTCTGACTCTAAACACAAGGGAGATATATCTGGCATATTTAATTGTTTACCATCTGGGAGACACCTACTGGAAAGTGCTATCCGGTGCTGGACATCAAAGGATTCCTGTAACATGCCTGGTGGCAAGTTACTGCAGGTCACGACAGACTCCATTTATTTGCAGAAAGGGCAAAAGAAGAAATTCAATAAATAAATAGGAAAGAACAGCCAGGACACCAGCTACCATTTCACAAGTTGAACAAACAAACAGAAAAGGAAAACCATGATACACTGCTAATTAACTACTGCAGGAAAACAATTCTCCCAAGCAGTTTGAGTTATTACTTTTCTGTACTTCTATCTCTGCTGCAGCTGACAGCATTACACTGACTTGTACATGTTATTAAAGGCCATTAGAGTAAAAATTATGCCTGTAAAAATGACATCTTAAGCTCTCATATTTCTTCCCTCCCAGTGATTCAGCAGCAATTTTCCTCCACTTACATGTCAAAAGATTATATATATATTTTTTTTTTTTTTTTTTTTTTTTTTTTTGCTAACTGCTGCTACCGTGACTTCCCTTGCGTTCAGAAAGTCGAGCTGGGTTCCTCCTGCCCTACATCGTTATCAGTAACAAGGTTCTGCAATTGGAGCGCAAGTGACAATTTTGCTGATGGCGAGGGAGGCAGAGAAGCACACTGTCCACTTTTCCGTGGCTCAACAGGATTTCCATTCAATGGTCCAGAGAGTCAGATAATAGAAATCTGTGTATGCTGACAAAAGTCATTGAAGTCACACCAATTTTTGCACTAGCTGGTGATTTGATGTAAGTGATGGTTTGGGCATTTAAGCAGCTATTTATTCACTGAGAAAAAAGTAATTATATCTTTAAGATTATCAATAGTTTTAGTCAAAACCTGAAATAAAGACATTTTCTTATTCTACATTTCTGCTTCCTTTCAAGCTAAAGCTGTTTTCCTGTCTTCATAAAGAATATCTATTATGTACTGGTATGACAGTGTGATGGATGAATATAAAACGTAAATCATACACATGATTAATACAATGTCCAAGTTTAATTAAATATTAATTCTCACTATTATCAGTCAAGACCCGTGTTTCTGCAGTTCCTTGAAAATGTTAACTTCCCTGTTACCTATGGCAGAGCAGATGATGCGAAACACATCCTCTCCTCCGCCTCTGTTATGACATTCTTCACTGAAGGGGAAATACAAGAATCCCTTCCTGGAGCTGTAGATCTTCCAAGTACCTCCATAAAGCAAAGGTTATTATAATACTTTTCCTTTCCCATGTCAGACATTTTCCACATGAATGAATCAAGACCTAACATTTTACAGATGGCTCAAAAGAAGCAATCCATAGCTCTTAGGGCCTTACCTATGGCTCTTATGGCCACTGCAGGTATGTCTGGCTACCAGGGATTTGTGACCTGCCCGGTGTCACTTGGTGGCTCTGTGAAACAGTGCAGTGGCCAGATTCTGCCTCAAGGAAGATGAATGTGATGCTCCCTGGTCTTCCAGTAGAAGTTCCAGTGATATGGGGGGGGGGGAGGGGCACAATTAGTGCCAAGCAGATCGATTCCCAGAAGTGAACCTCATGTGTTATAAACACTCTCCCACATCTTTGTGGGGATGCAGGTGCACCTCAGTCACGTTCATGAAAGCTAGAAAAAGCACCCAAGGTTCAGTGACTCAGTGACCCAGTCTGTGGGGCAATTTCCTCCTTATTCCTACATGCATCACCAGCAGGAGCTGCTGCGGTCACACGGAGGAGCCCATACAGTGTCCACGAGCTGTAAGAGTGAAGTATTTTATCCTTTCCCAACAGGACTGGCGCTTTGCCTGCCGGCGAGCTCTTCTCTACAGTCAGTGCTACACATAAAAGCAGAAAGCAGATATAAATGCCTGATGAACTGTACATCAGCAACACATTTGTACCTAACAGCCGTCAGCACTTTGGGTAGAGAAGACATAATATCACACTCCTCAGCAGTAGGATCATGGACAGCTTGCATAATGTTAAACTTGTGTATATGTGAAGACAGGAGATGGCAGATAAGAGGGAAGCTGTGAAGCCAAAGAGAAAATAGGCAGAAAATGAACCTCAGTTATATTCTTGCCTTGTACAACTGAATGCTGAATGTGCTTTCGTGGAAGTACAAGTGTTGTAAATCACGGTAAATCAAATGTTTGTTGTTGCCATTTCGCCTGCATGAAAAATCCTACACATACATGCACACACATGGACACACACTCCTTGTATCAAACCCTGCCTTTCCTCTGGGAAAAAAAAATAGAAAAAAAAGATTCTTGAAAAGCACATCAACTTTTAAGTGATGACACCTGTAGTTATTGCAAGTTTATAGCTTCCAGGCTCTTATAGACAAGAAAGGAAA